GCATGTGACTTACCTGACTGGTATGGGATCTTCAACACTGTGATTGGTGTAATTGACGATGGCATTGACAGACTGGTTGATCCATTGTATGTGACTTACCTGACTGGTATGGGATCTTCACCACTACGATTGGTGTAATTGACGATGGCATTGAAAGACTGGTTGATCCACTGCCAAAATATGACAGCTGGTGTGCTCCTATGTATAGATGGAAAATAAAAATTATTGTAATTATTAAAATTACATCATTATAAGTACCTGGGGTAAGACAATTGTTATAAAAGGAGGAAGGTCAGTGTGAAGCATCTCTGTTCTACAAGTTGAGATATTCCATAGAAACCACATCATATTGTAACCATGGATACTCACTGATGCCAAGTCATCATACACCCAGTTATGGTCATATTCATTGGTACTTGAGCTGACATTCGACCAATCAAAATCATCTTCTCTCCAGTCTCAGGATGAAATGCTGAGTCGTATCGATATTTTGCTCGCCATAATTCATCTTCTGTGACGGTGGCCGGAAGTCTGCCTTGTCTAGAATCAAAATCATGAATAAATTAACAGTCATACTTTCATAATACAACAATTTTGTTGAACTATTTTTACTACATAGCAGCCAATAATCCAATTGTGCTGTCTTTGTCACTATATTTAAATTTAATTCAAAAGCTTAAATGACTTTAAATATCATGTGAACCCCAGTGACACCAAAGACAATGTTCCCTTTAAAAATTTTACACAAATTTTGATCAGAACCAGTGAGCAGTGAAAAATATATTCCAACTCGTCTAAAACAAAGAAACTACATAAAAATAGAGAAGTTGGTAGGAACAAATATTGCATTTGAAGGATTAAAACTGAGCCTAATCTGAGCCCGGATTAGACAGGCCCGGGTAATCTGAGCTAGGATCAGACTGGCTAGTGTAATCTGAGCCAGGATTAGACTGGCTGGCATAGTCTGAACCAGGATTTTTTAATGTTTCTAATTATTTATTTTTATACACTTTATTTGAATTTATCAAAAATCTGAGCTAGGATTAGACTGGCTAGTGTAATCTGAGCCAGGATTAGACTGGCTAGTGTAATCTGAGCAAGGATTAGACTGGCTAGTGTAATCTGAGCAAGGATTAGACTGGCTAGTGTAATCTGAGCAAGGATTAGACTGGCTAGTGTAATCTGAGCCAGGATTAGACTGGCTAGTGTAATCTGAGCTCGGATTAGACTGGCTAGTGTAATCTGAGCTCGGATTAGAATGGCTAGTGTAATCTGAGCTCGG